TGGCACCGCCATGGCAATGTACTCCGTTCTGGCGGCCATTGCATTTGCAGTGGGCAGCCTGCTGCTGCTCGGCTGCTGCTGCTGTAACATTGTCATGTTCCGGGCATGGCCGAAGTACGGCGAGCAAGTGCCGAGAAGCCAACGTCGGTGCATGTCACCGGTGAAGTTTACAGTGCTGCTGCTGGCAATTCTCGGCGCCTCCTCCTTTGCCCTTGGCTTTGTGGGCGAGTTTAGAGTGCACACAGTGACCACTGGGGCCTGTGATACTGTCGCGCTCATCAACGAGCGAGTTCATTTGATTAAGCACGACGTTGGTGAGTTATTCTACCCTTTTTTGTTTATGCAAATTGTTAAATTTTAAAACAGCAAAAATGTTAATTTGGAAAAAGACATTTGACATCAGATGGCAAATGACATGCAAAGTTGTCCGTTGTTTTTAACAAAAAAAATGAAAATATATGAATTTTTATTTGTTTTGCAGACACTATTGTTCAGCAAATGAACATCACCGAGATAATGGAAAAACTGCAAACAGAAATGGAAACGGTAAAAAGAGATATAGCGCAAATATCACCCGCCGCTGTTGCAAGCATCAAGCAGTACAGCGAGTTCTTGGAAAAACTGCAAACTGAAATTCTCCACACCAGCGACAGTATTAAGGAAAAGATTATTGGCGATACCCTGGAGAAGGTGCTCACTATTGTGGATCCAATCAGCGAACATTGTCCAAAGGTGTCCCAGTGGGCACACCTGCTCAGTGTACTGTTGATCATTGTTCTGCTGTTTTCATCGCTGCTCTTCATCGTTGGCCTCTACCGACAGTGCCTTCGCTTTGTCGCCTGCCTCACTGGATACCTCTTCTGGCTGGCACTCTTTGCCATTGGCACACTGGCATTTGTTGCACTCATTAGCTGCTCGGACTTTTGCGTGGACGGCAAGGCGAACATTGACAGGCTCATGCCGACGCCAGTCAACGACTACTACTTACACTGTCCCAGTCAAGCTAAAAATAAAACCCACATGCAATGCTCACCAGTGTCAATGCAGTTTACATCACTGTTCGACGGTACTTTATCATCACCCTTTGCTGACAGCAGCTCTAATTCTGTCAACTCGATNTCAACGACTACTACTTACACTGTCCCAGTCAAGCTAAAAATAAAACCCACTTGCAATGCTCACCAGTGTCAATGCAGTTTACATCACTGTTCGACGGCACTTTATCATCACCCTCTGCTGACAGCAGCTCTAATTCTGTCAACTCGATTAGTAGAGCACTCGCTATTCCAGACCGAATTCTACCGCGGCCGCCTCCGCACTTGCCATCGATTCCCTCCTTCACCAATGAGAGCGTTCCAATCGATGTGATGGTCCATCAAGCGGGCTGCTTTGTCAATCAGAGCAAGGCAATCATGGCGCAGTTTGGTGACGCCGTTTCAACCACTATTGCCCCGTGCAACAGCTCTAGCAGCAGCAGCCAATCGATGTCAGCGCCAATCGATCATCTGTGCGAGGCCATCCATCGCATGGATCTGTTGATAATCGGCCCAGTGAAGAATGGCACCAATTCTACCCATTCTACCAACAACAGCAGTCTTCTGGGTCGTCTGGAAGTGGCTGCCCAGTGCATGGGTCGCATTGAGGAGAATGTCGATTGCTCTTCAGTGACGCCGCGCATTAATCGCCACTTAGGCGAGATCTGCGGCCCACTCTTTGACGCCTTCTTCGTCTATCTGCTCAACTCTCTGCTGGCCATTGTCCTCTTCTTCCTCCTTCAGCTGCTCTCCATTTGGCTGATCTGCACTCATACTGCTGACGATGATGATGACCCCTACACGCCCTCTGCGCCACCCAGTGCGCACATTAACCCTCGAGTACAGTTGAACTTGAACGAGTTTGTCTGGAAGGAAGCACAAAGGGGAAAGAAGATTCGTTTTGAAGGCAGGCAACCAATAACTACCGTTCTCTAGTCACAAAAATTGAAATAATAAAAGTAGTATCGATTGCTCAACTCTAGCTATTTATGAGAGTTCGGGAGCCCATTTAAATTTAAAGCAACTGGCGATGCACGTCAAAAACTGCCAGGGCATCATGAAAAAAACTAAATTACATCAAAGTTAATAACATTTTTCTTCCACAAACACACACACACACACAATTTAAACAAAAATTTTCCAGAAACAAGCTATACATTTCATCGAAAGCAGCCAAAAACAAAACACCGTCTGCCTTAGTGCTTACTACCCGGGCCAACGTGAGTAATTGGATTTGATTTGCCTTTCACAGTCAGCCAGTCAGACTGAGTGAGACTACTTGCACTTGCACTTGAAACTAGTGGTGCCTGCACTTGATACTTGGCAAGAACTGCCAACAACCGCTAACTAGTACTAGTGCTAGCACTGAACTGACCGAGTGAGCCAGCCAAAACTAGATTGAATTAGCAAATGCGATAAAAGATTCACAGAGATGCTATCATCAGCTGTAATCAACGCACACTGTTGCACTGGTCCCGGACACAGACAGTACACCAGCACAGTGCCACTAGTCAATTGGATGCCAACGCAATCGATCACTACAGTATTGAAAGTGTGCATTGCAGTGTTAAACAGTGCAGCAGGGAGAGCAACTCTCTTTTCAATGCAGATGAAGAGAGTGCATTTGCAGGCAAAAAAATGCAGAGATAAATAACTCAATCGGCCATTAATATTAATGAGTTGCAAAGATGCTGTTTGCGTTGACTTTTCAGTAGAGCCTAGATTGTTATTTTTTCAAAAACGCTGTGACCAATTGAAACTCAATTTAGCTTAAAAACACAAACGTTTTGCAAAAAAATTTAATTTATGTTAATGTACAGTGTACAATTGTAAAACGGAATGATACTCAATTAACAAATGAATAAAATATATTGGAAAAATAGACAAAAAAATGATATTAAATGATAATTGATGTTGATTCGTCAGAAGTGTCCGTGTTTGAATAGCAATAAGCTCTTCGTGTTTCTCGGTGGTCCGGTAAAGTAACAGAGGAGAGAGAGGAGGAAAAGTTCTCAAATTTTCAAACTCAACCTGATTTAAATTTGAGCCCGTAATCGTCGTGATCATCCATGTTTTGCTGGTCAACGTTCTCCTGAAGGTGAAGGGTCTCCATCAGCTCAAAGTACTCGCCGTCAGAGTTGCCCAGCTGTTCTGTCGCGGCAATTCGCGCCGTCGTCGATGACTTTCCCGCTTTGTTTCGCTGTTTATAAGTCTCATTTTTCCTGTTGCTAGCGTTGACGTCGTCATCATCAATGTCCTCCGGTGTGCCCGGGTCGTGGTCATCATCGCCCTCGTTCGATGAGTACTTCTCCTTCAGGCTGATGTAGATGATCTGCAGGTGGCGGTGACTGGCAGTGCCCACTGAACCATTGGAGCTGCTGCTGCTGTGCAGCAGGCTTTTGTTGCTGTTGCTGGCGGCAGTAGATGTTTGGTGATTGGCAGCAGCGTGGCTGTTGTTGTTTGCATCGCCAGTGACATGATGGCTGCTCTGGCGTCCAGCACCAGCAGACACTCCTCCGCCATTGCTGAAGCTGGGCACCGATAGCAGGTTTGACTTTAATCGAGCGATGTTGATCTCCTTGTCGCCGCTCGACTTGCTACTACTGTGGTGATGGTGGTGCTGGTGATTGTGGTGGTGATGATGGTGGTGATGGCTGTTGTTGCCGCCACTAGAGCTGCTGTTGTTGTTAGTGTTCAGATTGTTGATGTAGTTCAAGTTGGAGCTAGTCGGCTGTAGGCCGCTACTGTAGCTCCGACTGAGACTTCGCTGGAAGATGGTCGTCCGATTCTGCTCCGGATCAGTTGACTGGGCGACCATTGAGCTGGTGGTGCAGCAGCAGGTGAGCACTGAAAGGATTCCCTGGCGGTAGCCATTGTTCAGCCTAAATGAAATGTGTGTCATTGAGTCGTCAAAGAAAAAGAAATGTTAAGAAGGGTAAGAATGAGTGAAAGTGTAAGTGCCCAGTGTGATTGAGCCCTCTATTTTAAAAATAGTACAAAGTATAATCCTTGCCTTTAGCAAATCACGTACCAGAAGTAGATGAAGGGATTGTAGCAGATGGAGGACATGGCCAGCCAGTGGGTGAGGTAGTGCAGCGTCAGGCTGAAGTTGAGGTCGCCAAAGTCCTTGAAGAGGTACAGCAGATTGTAGGGCAGCCAGCAGATGGCAAAGCAGACCACCACGAAGATCAGCATCTTGATGGTCTTCCGCTTGGCGTTGAGGTGCGTCGCCGCCTGCTCCACCGTCGTCTCGCCGATGCACGCCCGCTTGCTGATCTTCAGGCCGATCATGGTGTAGCAGAGGCCGACGATGAGCAGGGGCACGAAGAACTGGGCGGTGAAGGCGACGCAGGTGGAAATGCGCTGGTAGAGCAGCTCATTGTCGGAGGGGTAGACCGTCTTGCAGCGGTACAGCACCTCCTCGTGGTACTCAAAGCCGCTGGCCGTCTCGCCGCTGACCACCGTCGAGGGCACAATGGTGTTCAGCATCTTGATCTCGGTGACGGCGTTGAAGACGGCGTTCGGCGCCGCCAGAATCGCCGCCGACGACCAGATGAAGGTGATGAGGACGCTCTTCGGGACGCGGTGACTCATTCGCCGCTTCAGCGGCTTGATCAGCGCCTGGTAGCGGTCGATGGCGATCATCGTCATGCTCAGCACTGACACGTACACCGAGAGGGCCTGCACGAAGGGCACCAGCTTGCAGAGAATCTCACCAAAGGGCCAGTTGTCGAGGATGTTGCGCACTGAAGAAAGGGGGAAAAAAAGAATGAAAGTGAAGAAGATTAATTAATGGCCACTGCTAAACTAAATTATATACAATGTTTGTTGGTAGCCAAACAAAAATGATTACTGTTTCGCAGAAATAAATGCCGTTCAGAATTTCCCTTTTTCTTTCTCTCTCTCTCTCTCCCTTTTCCACTGAAGNTACACCGAGAGGGCCTGCACGAAGGGCACCAGCTTGCAGAGAATCTCACCGAAAGGCCAGTTGTCGAGGATGTTGCGCACTGAAGAGAGGGGCAGAAAAAGAATGAGAGTGAAGAAGATTAATTAATGGCCACTGCTAAACTAAATTATGTACACTGTTTGTTGGTAGCCAAACAAAAATGATTACTGTTTCGCAGAAATAAATGCCGTTCAGAATTTCTCCTTTTCTTTCTCCCTCTCTCCTTTTTCCACTGAAACTCTTAATTCTGTAGAGCAATAAACAAAAAAGTTAATTAAGCTTTACTTTGCTCAAAATAGAGCATTTGGCATTTACGCTCAAAGTAAAGTCCACCACCAAAAGTTCGGCTATTTTTTGCCTTACATTTAAAATTCACTCAAATCAGCTTTTGATGAGACGGCAGACGGCGAACTGAGCTTAGGCACTAGTTTTTTAGTTTAAGTTGGTAACAAAACCCCCGGCATCATAATCTTCCTATTTTTGTCTGCCGTTGTGAGCTTGTGCATCCACGAGCCAAAACCTAAGCTCTATGTCTGCTCTTTTGGTGTGTTGCAATACCGTTAACAAAGTAAAACCTGGTAACTTATTGCTTCATCATTTGCCGACAGTGCTTTCAATTGAATAAGGCAAGTCAGCAAGTCGTCGTTGTCGTCGTCGTCGTTGTCTTGTTGCGAGAGCAAATAGCCAAACTACTTTGCAACGGAAATGCACTATGTTTATTTACTGAAGTGAATGAAATGTACCAAAGTTGCGATTCAAACAAGGCAATTTGAGGTGAACACGGTGTGTGAACAATGCCCAACAGCACACAAAAACGGCCATTTTTCTGTTGTAATTTTTCCGAATAATCAATAAAATTGCAATACAAAAAACGATCAGTTATTTGAGTCAAACAAAGTGAATGAGTAATTTGATTCAGGAGTGAATTTATCAAAGTTTAGCCACCCGTCAAAATAATTACAGTTTTTATCAGAAACCTAATTAAAAGATAAATCAAGTTTGACTAATAAGGGAAACTCGGCAATGTGTTTACAAGCGTTTTTGTTTTAAACATGTTACTATTAAAAAACTTAATAAGCAGAATTAAGTACTACAACTGAATGTTGAAATACTTTGTTTAAAATAAAATTTTTTTATGTATTAGAAACGGTTAAAAATAGTACAAAATCAAAGATTTTATTTACCAAACTAGTTTAATTTGATAAATAAAAAGTTTAACGGCAGTACAACAAATAAATTTTTTATTTTACTTTGATCATTTTGCCTAATTAAAGTTAAAAAGTTTGTTAAAACGATATATTTATTGTAAAAAATTATTAATTGATTACATCAATCTAACTAATTTAAAAAATTGGTACTGTTGGTTTACTTTTTTGAAACTTCAATTAACAAAAAACTTTTAAAAATTAATAGACAAA